TGATACCTCACTGTGGTTTTGATTTGCATTTACCTGATGATTAGTGATGTTGAGCATCTTTTCATGTGTCTGTTGGTCATTTGTATGTTCTTTGGAAATTTTTCTATTCATGTCTTCTGCCCATTTTTAATTGGATTACTTGGGGTTTTTTGGGTGTTGGATTATTTTGTTTTGTTGATGGTTTCCTTTGCCGTGCAAAAGCCTTTTATTTTTGTGTAGTCCCAATAATTTAATTTTGCTTTTGTTTCTTTTGCCTGAGGAGACTTATCTAGAAAAATGTTTCTATAGCCAATGTCAAAGAAATTACTGCCTATGTTTTCTTCTAGGAGTTTTAAGATTTCAGGTTTCACATTTAAGTCTTTAATCTATTTTTAACTTATTTTGCATATGCTGTAAGAAAACAGTCCAGTTTCATTATTTTGCTTGTAGCTGTCCATTTTTCCCAACACCATTTGTTGAAGAGGCTGTCTTTTCCACATTGTATGTTCTTGCCTCTTTCGTCGTTTTTTTTTTTTTCTGGGCTCTCTATTCTGATCTGTTGGTCTATGTATCTATTTTTGTGCCTGTGTCATACTGTTTTGATTATTACAGCTTTGTAATAGAGCTTGAAGTCTGGAATTGTGATACCACCAGCCTTGTTCTTCTTTCTCAAGATTGCTTTGGCTATCAGGGTCTTTTGTGGTTCCATACAAATTTTAGTATTATTTGTTCTAGTCTGTGAAAAATGTCACTGATATTTTTATGGGGATTGCATTAATCTATAGATAGCTTTGGATAGTATGGACATTTTAACAATATTGGTTCTTCCAATCCAGGAGCATGGACTATCTTCCCATTTGTTTGTGTCATCTTCAAGTTGTTTTGTAGTTTTCAGAGTACAGGTCTTTCAACTCCTTAGTTAAGTTTATTCCTAGGTATTTTATTATTTGGGGGTACAAATGTAAATATTATTGTTTTCTTAATTTCCCTTTCTGCTACTTTATTTCTGGTGTAGAGAAATGCAACAGATTTCTGTATATTAACTTTGTATCCTGGTATAGCATTATCTGACACTAGTTTTAAGCTAAAGATAAGTATTGTAAACTTTGGAGAAGACATTAAAAAATAAAAAATAGCCAAAAAGCCAATAGAGAAGATAAAATGTAATACTAAAAAACACTCAAGCCAATAGAAGGCAGAAAAGAGGAAGCAAGAGACAAAGAACAGAGGAAACAGATAGAAAACAAATATTAATAATTACATTATATATAAATGAACTAAACACATCCTTTCAAAGGGTAGAGATTATCACACCAAATGAAAGAATAAAGACCCAACCATGTGCTCTTTCTAAGAAACCATCCTTAATATAAACAGATGGATTAAAGTAAAAGAATGAAAAACAATATTACCAAGCACACACCATTCACAAGAAAGATGTAGTAATCATATTAATATCCAATGACATAGGCTTAAGAAGTATTACTACCCAGGCGCCCCAAGAGTCTTCTTTTCTAATATAGACATTTAAAATTATAAATTCCCAGGGTGACTGGGTGGCTCAGTTGTTAAGCATCTGCCTTCGGCTCAGGTCATGATCCTGGGGTCCTGGGATCGAGCCCCTCATCGGGCTCCCTGCTTGGCGGAAAGCCTGCCTCTCCCTCTTCCTCTCCCCCTGCTTGTGTTCCCTCTCTTGCTGTGTCTCTCTGTCAAATAAATAAATAAAAATCTTAAAAAAAAAAAAGAAGACTCTTCTAAATAACTGATCTAAACTTGTACCGTAAGCATCTAAGAAAAGAAGCAAATTAAATGAAAAGTAAGTAGCAGAAAGGAAATAAGGGCAAGAACAAAAAATGACAGCACCTGGGTGACTCAGTCAGTTAAGTGACTGCCTTCAGCTCAGGTCATGATCCCAGGGTCCTAGGATCAAGTCCCACATCGGGCTCCCTGCTCAGCTTCTCCCTCTGCCTGCCCCTACACCCTGCTCGTGCTCTCTCTCTGGCATGCTCTCTCTCTCTCAAATAAATGAAGTCTTAAAAAAATAGAACAGAAAATGAGATAAAAAATAGGGAAATAGTGAAAATTAAAAAAAAAATTTGTTCTTTGAAAAGTTCAATAAAATTGATAAAGCTATGACTAGACTGATCAAGAAAAATGAAGAGAGAAAACACAAATTACTAGTATGAAAATGGAAGAATAGATACATTATACAACCTATAAATATTAAAAGATAGTAAGGAAATATTTTGGACAAGTTTATAGCAAAAATAGACAATTGAAATGAAATAGACAAATTCCTTAAAAAACACAAATTTTACAGCTCTAGCTTTTCACTGGGTCTTCTTTAAGCCTTAAACTTTTTTCTTTGTTATGTTCATGTTTTCATTTAAATCTTTGGGAATGTTTATAACAACTGTTTTAAAGTTCATTGTCTGTATCTGATAAAGGGTTAGTATCCAAGACCTTCTCAAACTCAACACCCCCAAAAATTAATAATCCAGTTAAGAAATGGACAGAAGACATGAATACACATTTTTCCAAAGAAGACATCCAGATGGCTAACAGACACATGAAAAGATGCTCAACATCACTCATCATCAGGAAATACAAATCAAAACCATGATAAGACACACCTGTCAGAATGGCTAAAATAACAACACAAGAAACAACAGGTATTGGCGATGTTGCAGAGAAAGGGGAATCTTCTTGCACTGTTGGTGGGAAGACAACGGGTACAGTCACTGTGGAAAACAGTATGGAGTTTCCTCAAAAAGTTAAAAATAGAATTACCCTTCGATCCAGCAATTGCACTACTAGGTATTCATCCAAAAGATACAAAAATACAGATTTGAAGGGGTACATGCACCCCAATGTATATAGCATTATCAACAATAACCAAAATATTGAAAAAGGCAGAATGTCCATCAACTGATGAATGGATAAAGAAGATGTGGTACATATATACAGTGGAATATTACTTGGCCATCAAAAAGAATGAAATCTTGCCATTTGCAACAACGTGGATGGACCTGGAGTGTATTACCTAAGTGAAATAAGTCAGTTGGAGAAAAATACCATATGATTTCAGTCATATGTGGAATTTAAGAAACAAAACAGATGAACATATGGGAAGGGGGGGGAAGAGAGAGAGGGAAACAAACCATAAGAGACTCTTAACCATAGAGAACAAACTGAGGGTTGATGGAGGGAGGTGGGTGTGGGATGGGCTAGATGGGTGATGAGTATTAAGGAGGGCACTTGTGATGAGCACTGGGTATTATATGTAAGTGGTGAATCACTGAATCCTACTCCTGAAACCAATATTGCACTGTATGTTAACTAACTAGAATTTAAATAAAACTTGAAGAAAAAAATTTTTTAAATCAAGTCCATTGTCTAAATACTATCATCTCTTTGGTTTTTAGGTGTGTGGGGCTTTTTTTTTTTTTTAAGTATTTATTTATTTGAGAGAGAGTGGGGGGAAGGGGCAAAGGTAATCTCAAGTGGAATCTTAAGCAGTCTCTGCACTGAGCATGAAGGCCAACACAGGGCTCCATCTTACAACCCTGAGATCATGACCTGAGCCAGAATCATTAGTCTGATACTTAACCGACTGAGCCACCCAGGTGCCCCTCTAGGTGTGTTTTTATTGGTTGATTTTTCTTCTGACTCTGAGTTACATTTTATGCTTCTTTGCGTATCTGGTAATTTTTGCATTTGATGCTAGATATTACGTAAGCTATGTTTCCGAATATTTAGATTTTGTTGTCTTTCTTTATGTGTATTGAGGCTTGTTTTAGAAGGAAGTTAAGTTACTTACAGATCAGCTGGATCCTACCAAGGCTAGTTTCACTCTCAGTGCGGTTATAGAGAAGCCCTTAGTCTACAGGTACTTTATTTATCCTCCCATCCAAGGCCTGACCTTCAGTAAAATCCTTAGATATTCAATTAGGTCTCTTCACTCTGGTTATAGTAGGAACACAAATGATTCCTAGCTCTGTGTGGGCGCGGAATTGTTCAGCTTATAGGTCTCTCACAGTTATTCTTTGTCTAGTCTGATGGATTTCAATTTCATTCTACACTCATGCAGATTAGTATTTCACCAAACATTCAAGGAGGACTCTTCTACAGATGTCTTCTGTATACAAACTCCAGTCATCTTGCTTCTCCAAGCTCTTACCTCTGTTTCCTCAACTCAATGTGACAGGCTTTCTTGGGTTCCCCCTCCCTGGGTCATCATCTGGAAACTTCCTCCAGGCAAAAAGTAGGGTCATCATTCTGCTTACCTCTTTTCTTTCCCTTCTCTCAGGGACCGGAGTCCTGTGCTGCTATTGTCCAATGGTTGTTTCATATACTTTGTCCAGTTTTTTAGTTGTTTATGGAAAGAGGGCAAGTCCTGTACTGGTTACTCTTTCACAGAAAGAAACAGAAGTTCACACTCATAAAACTAACATTTAACAATATATAACTTAGGGTCCCATTCAATATTTATTGAGTCATTACCATAAACTGCAATTATGGTAATACTAGATATGGCAGAATCTCTGACTTTTGACTAAGAAACTGACTTAATTGAGTCAGACTTTCGGGAAGTTGACTGTAAAAGGGTAGCAGGGTTAGATTTTTGCAGTAATTTTAATGTCTCCCAATTAATCTGAGTCAGGATTTTTATTCCACTTGACATTATGAATTTTAAATGTTCAAATATATTTTTAAATACACAAACTCATTCCTTATCCTTTGTTTTTATTATGTAAGTCCTTGATACTGCACACACTGATGCTTTTTTTTTTTTGCACACTTGTAATCACCACTCAGACTCCCTTCACACAGATTTATTGCTTAAATTCTATGTAAGTGACTCACCTCTTCAGTAAAATAAAGAATAGGGTGGGAAGATGAGCTAGTCTTGTGCAGTTCTTTAAGAAAGTACAATCTAATAGATATTAAATTTAGAAGCATAAATCTAGTATAAAGACATAGTTTTCTCCCCTCAAAAAATCTGAGAACATATAATGAAGTTTTCTGAGAAGACACAATAATTTTTATTCATTTTAATTTTTGTATCAGTTACAGCACATAATTATATAAAACAACTGAGGTTAACAGAGGCCCACATGCAGACAAGTGAGGATGTGTCCCCACCATATTTGCAGGCACTGAGCATCTGTGGTTAACCACTTTGATCAGTTTTTAATGTACATGAAATGTACAGGCATCTTGAAGTTCTGTGAAGCAAAACATAAGAGAAAGACTTTTAGGTACTTCCTGTGCTTACTAAACACAATTCTGTTCCTGCTTTCTAAGAGCAAATGCTAGGTAATAATAATTTTTTTAAAAGATTTTATTTATTTATTTGACAGAGAGAGAGACACAGTGAGAGCAGGAACACAAGCAGGGGGAGCGGGAGAGGGAGAACCAGGCTTCCCGCGGAGCAGGGAGCCCGATGCGGGGCTCGATCCCAGGATCGTGAGATCATGACCTGAGCCGAAGGCAGATGCTTAATGACTGAGCCACCCAGGAACCCCAATAATAATTTTTTTAAATTCTCTCTCTCTCTGTGTCTGTGTCTGTATCTCCTAATTGATGTCAGTGCTATCCTTAAATACCTACATTTTCCTTTCCTCCTGCTCTCATCATCTCCAACACAAAATATAATTCAACAAAAACTCAGGCACACTCCCAGCAATTTGATTATCCCAGCTCTAATTTTATTTCTCCAACTTAATCCTTTTTGAGGCAACTATACCATTCTAAAACACACACACACACACATATATATACTATGCCGTTCTAATACGTATATATAAAACTAGAAAGGGCACATACAGTGCTAACTTCATTTTGTTTCTGTTAATATTATTTATACATTTTACTTAAAATCTTTGAAAATTGATCCTCTATGAGTGATATATATAGGTCATTTCCCAACCCTCTCTCTACACTGAAGTGCTCACACATGTATACCTTTTCATTTTGTTAGGAAAAAAAAATGGAAATGCACAAGTAAACAAGTTTAGTTTCCAAATGATCTCAATTGCACTCTCTTTCTCCTTCAAATGATTTGGTCATTTTTCAGGTAGTTTCTTATACTGCCATCTAATTGAGTTACCTCACTGGTAGGTCTGCATCCTCCTGCAGGGCCAGAAGCAAGCCTTCTCCATCTTTGTGCTCCCATCAGTACTGGCCCATGGCTTGGCACACAATGGTCCTTAATACAAATATGTTTACCTTGACCCCCATGGTATTATTCCTCGGTGTTTTATTCTACTCACCAGAGTGTAAGCATTGTCCCATGTTAGCAATGGCCGTAAGATACTCTGGTCCTAAGTATTTTCGATAAGTTGTTTTATCCTGAAGGTTAGCCAAACATGCCGTGTCATCGCTGAAGAGCAGGTCCTTAGTTGAAGATTGAAACATCTGGAACATCCTGTATTCAAACCCATCTCTTCCAAAGAGCTCCTGGGTCAGACACACAGACAGACAGACAGAGAGTGAGCAGCAGCACCAGAGAGCACGAGGTTGTGTGTTCTGCCTCAGAAGATCTAAGTCTGCTGCACTGCTCAGCTCCAGCCCCCGGGAGACCTGGGACACAGCCAACAGTTTCAGAGGCACCATTAATGGCAAAAAAACACGGCATCTGGGTTCAAATCGTGGCCCTCGCTTTTCCTTGTCATGTGACTTTAGGAAACTTCTTTACTGTGTCAGTGAGCCTCAGTTTACTCATTTGTAAATGGAGATGATGTATGTAAAGTAATTGCTAAATAAAAAAAGCTTCAAGTTTTGTAGCCACTGTATCACAATTCTGCCAGTCACTGCTGGATATTTTCAACTTCCTGGGTCATACTACCTGTCTTCTGCTGCCCAAAGCCCTTGCTGCCTTGCCTCTTCTATTCTCTACATGTGCCCCAGGCACCTGACCATTTCCATCTCTTCCTTCCCCTCCTCTTTCTTTGTTCAGCCCCCTACAGCCAAGGCGGCAGCTTGCCTTTTGGGAGACATGCCTTCAGGAGTCCCTGACCAAGAGTCTCTGGTTTTGCCAGTTCTCCCTGGGTTGTAGTCCTCTAACTAAACATGTGGGCAGAATATGCTAAGACATGGATTACTCATATGGGGCTCTTCCAGGAATGGGGCGTATGAGTGTGATAGGCAGCTGAGGCTTTGGGTTTTCCTTAAGATCATTTGATTTAGGCATCCTGCTACTTCATAGCCCTTGTTGGCTGCCTGTAGAGGTCATTAGTTGTCTGAATGTTGGCTTTTGAACTTTCATGAAGCCTAAAGCAGTGCTCAGCCTGCCCAGGTTCAGTAATGCATTGGGACCCACCCTAAGTCAGGTAGAGTAGCCTCTATTCTGCTTTTCCCACATATATAACTCCTCATCCTAGTGTGAAGGGCACTGAGCCAAATCCCTTATTTCTGTGGCAGAAGAAGAAAGAGATAACTCTCATGGAGGAACTAAACAAGTCCAGGAGATACCAGGAGTCTGCCCAGAGAGGTAAGTGAGTCTTAGGGAGACCCTTCAGATACTCATGTGTCCGAAGCTTTTTCAGTCCATATTGATATCCTAGACACCCCCAGAGCACAAATTGAACATAGTTACCAGCTAGCTTTCTGCTTTCCTCAGAGGCAGGGCTGTGAGAATCTGCCCAGGGAGAAAGGGTATGAGACTGGGCTGGGTGTACCTGTCAGTTCTGGAGGTGACCTCAGTACTCGGCTGGGGGGACCGTGTAGAAGGACCTCCTGTGTGCCCATACCTGTTGATTGAAGAGCATTCTGCTAACAAAAGCTGCCTTATCTTTCCTTGAGACCACAGCATGATTTGGGACTATGGCCAGGTTGCACCTCCAAGCTTCAGTCACAGGCTTCCTGGTACCATCAAGGCACAGCAGCTCAAAGTCACCCAGCTTCAGATCTTTAGCCCATGCTTCAGGGCTCTTTCCTGGGGAGGAGGAAGGTTGGTCAGCCACAGCTGACAGCTTTGGTCAAGGTGCCCTCCCCGGGGGGATGTGACCAACCACCAATGTCTGGGAGAATCACAGAGACACAGAAAAATGAAATAATTAAACTTTAAAAATAGAAGAAAGAGAAAAATGCATAGTTATAAATTCATAGCCTCTTTGGTTAGTGCCTTTTCAGTCCTGTTAAAGGCAAAAGTTTCTTAAACAGGCCTGAAAAAGCACTAGCCAGAAAGAAGATTGATAAGTTGAACTACATTAAACATTAAAATACCTGTTCATCGAAAGACATCATTAAGAAAGTGAAAAGGTAAGCCTTTCAGAGAGAAACAAGGTATTGTCAATCATATAGTTGACAAAAACTTGTATCCAGAATATATAAGGAACGCCTATAAATGAAGAGAGCCAGTCATGCTTTAATAAACTTCCCTAGTTGCCCGATTGGGGAGTGACTTCCTAGGAGAGACCCAGACTTTTTCCAAGGGAGGAAATGACAGCACAGGCACATACCGTCAGTGTTCTGGAAGACGGTGATCTCCTTCACAAAGGCCACGTCTCCCTTTTCAACCAGACACCTGCACAGCAAGCGTCAGATCAGTGAGGAGCTCCAATGGGAGTGGGAGGGAGAGACACCCAGAGGAAACCACTGAGAGGCTCACACCCCCTCCACCTGAGGCCAGTGGGCACACCTAATGCTTACCACATCCACACACACAACTGTAACACTCGGGCTGTCCCAGAGACTTTGAGGGGAAATGTAATAATAAGAAGAAACCTGCTTATTTTGTTTCCATTGTAGATAACCACTGTTTGGTTCCTTATTTTAAATACGGATCATTTTCTCCAGAGGAGATGTTTGTGTTCTCCTATTAATAGGAATATTCAAGAATGACTCTCTGGTCAGATCAAAACTCACACCAGAGATTAAAATCAACATGGAAGACATGATTTTGAAGGAGCCTTTTCACATCCATACGCCTAGTCAGCCTTAATGCTCAGTAGTGAATGTGCATCACTAGATATGTGTTCACACTTAATCCCCAGAAAACTGTTCCTCTCTGTTTAAGGTCCATTCTTTATGAGAAATGTCAAACACATTAACAATCAGTACTATGACATCCAATCAGTTGGCAATTGACATTAGTGATTGGTTATCAGGAGCACCTCTCCAGTTTTCTCTCTCTCCTAACTTCAGGTCCCTCTATACTTAGCTAGGACTAATTACTCCTATTCAATTTTCCTAAGCTCCCTTTGCCCCATTTCTTTCCTCTTCCTGCCCTTCATATAATCCCAGTCCTGAATAAGCATGATGGTCTGCCTCAGGTGTCTGTACCTCAGCAGGGAGGCAGAGCAGAGAAGCTCCTGATCATTCATTTCTCCTGGGCATTCTTGCTTTCCTCACTCTACTCTAGATCTGTGTTTCTTTACGTGTGGGCTGGGATCAGCAGCATCGGCACCAGCTGTGAACCTGTCAGAAATGCACATTCTTGGGGCCCTACCCCAGACCTACTAGATCAGAAACTTCTGGGGGTGGGGTACAGCAATCTGTGTTTTAACAAGCCCCCTAGGAGAATCTGTGCTCTAGTGGTGAGAACCACTGTTTGAGATAACCACCTCCCCATTCCACAGAGCAGTGACTAAAATGTTTTTCAAATTCCTGCATGCGTCTGTCTCTCCACATACCCTCTCCCCAACACTCACTCTACCATGTGCTCCTGCTTCCCAGAGAAAATACAGCTATCATGACATGAGCTTTCTACCAGCCTCCCTCTGCCAAAGCTGTCAGCCTAAGTCTCCAGGGCTCTTTTCCTGCCCTCCAGGCACAAAGGAGTGAAGGTCTCCTTCTCTACAACAGTGTCCTCCCCAGGTGTCCTGCATCCCATCCCCACCCACACTCTCAGGCACCTTCTGATAGTTATCCTCTCTCCCTTATGCAATTGGAGTCTTTCTCCATTCACTGGGCTCTTTTCATCAGCATTCATACTTTCTTTCCTTTTTTGAAAAGCAATAATCCCTGTCTCGATCCCACACTGCCCTTAGCAATGGGCCTCCCTCCCCAACTCATCCAAACACCTAAAAGGAATCACTGCACCTGTGATCAGCACCCCTTCACCCCACCCTCACCGACCCCTGCCAATCAGCTTATGGGACTGACTCACTATTGAATCTGCTCCCACCAGATCCAGGGGCCAGTTCGCCACACTCATTTATTTGATCTTTCAAGTTCATCTTTCCCCAGTTTGAAATGTTATCTTTGTTATACGCCAAATATAACGTGTCCATGTATAAGTCTTTGAAGTCTATTCTCTTCCACTGATTTGTCATTCTTCGACACAAACCAGGCTGTACTGATCATAGTCTTACAGTATTATATAGTATTAAATGTGATTTTTATATCTAGGAAAACAAAATTCCCCTTGTATAATTTTATTTAAAAATTCTTGACTCTCGTTTGGTCTACCCAAGTCACTACCACAGCACCCTCCTTGTTCCTTTGCCGCACTCAGCACAGTCAGGAAGTGATTGACCCTTATTTATATGTTTATTGTCCTACTCTCCCCATGAGATAAGACGCAGGCGACAGGGGAGCTACCTGTGTCTTGTTGCTGCTATAACCCCTCTACCTAGACCAGTGCCTGCCACATAGTAGGTGCTCAATAAAGGTTTCTTGAAGGGCTGGAGCAGCCCAGAAATATCTATTTTTAAAATGTACTCATCAGCCAGGTGTAAGAAGCACATGTCCAGTACCCGTCCTCTGATTTTAAACTGGCGCTCTGAAAGATTCCGTGACTTGTCCACAATCACACAGAAGAAAAGAACAAAAGTAGACCCAGGGTTGTGATCCTGCACCCCTCATTCTTGCCTCTCCTCAGGTGCCCTAAGTCAGCTGGGTCTGCAGAAAAGCGCTCCAGAAAGGAGCTGGGCTTGAGTCCTTAGAGCCAGTGGGAATTTGCCGTTCTGTTTTCTAATTCTGGCTCCTCCTAACTATAGCAGCCAGATCCTGGGGTGATGGAAAAGATGAAAGGACAAGAGGTTCGCTGGGTTGGTGCCCAAGAGAAAGGTGGTGCACAGACACTACTCGCCTGAATGCCCCGCTGAAGCCATAGTATCTCTCGTGGTGGTTGGGGGCACAGGTGTGGGCTGGGCTGCTGCCACCACTGCACAGAGCGCAGAGACTGGAATCTGGGTCAGACCCAGGGGCACAGCTTTGACTGAAGAATTCATCTGTGCAGGAAAACACAGGAGGTCAGCTCTTCTTGCCTGTGTTAGCCAGAAAGCCTCCGATTTTGTCCCTAGAGTTGCTTGAATGGTGTAGAGACACATTTGGGTGTTTGGTACCATATTATTACAAATAAGAACCTTACAGAATAAAAAAAAAAAGTTGCAACTAGAGCAAAGTAAAGGGGGACTGGCTGAAGTTGGGACAAGGGTCTGTGGAACAGAAATGGCACAGGGTGGGAGGTGTGGAAGGATAGACACAGATGCAATTCTAAGAGAGAGAACAAAACTGAAAGCCCCACCCGGTCGAACCTCTCCCACATTTTCCCTGACCTCTGCTGCCCTTGCCCTCCCTTATAAGGTATTCCATCTTGACTCCAAATCCAGGAAGGGGCTGAGAGGCTCAGCTGCCAAGCCCTGTGCTGGGCCCCAGGGCACTGCGGTGAGGACATCACATAGGCCCTGTGCTCCTGGAACCCAAGTCCATGAGCAACAGTCATAACTCAAGTAGCCACACTAGTGAATTCGTACCCCCCCACCTCCTACCCAGCTTGCAATGGGAAAGAAGAATATGGTTCTACACGGTTGTACATAAAGGAATCTGGTAAAGACCTGGGAATCAGGGAGAGGCCTCAAGTCGAGAGATGAAGAATGAATAGCAATTACTTAAGTAAAGGGTGAAAGGACAAGAGCTTTCCAGACACGGAGCAGCATCTGAAAAGGCCCAGGGCAGGGGTGGGGAGTGAGGGCAAATAGCATGGAAAGTTCAGTAAGAGGCCATTGGTCTAGACCATCCAGTACAAGAGTGAGTGGAGAGGAGGCAAGGTCCAGACCCACTTTTACAGCTTTGTATAAATTTTGTTCTTTATCCTTAGAGAAATCAGGAGCTTCTGAAGGGCTACAGCAATGCTGGACCAGGGGAGTGGGCTGGATATAGCCAGATCTGCACTTTGCAAAGATTGGTCTGCCAGTGGGATGAATGGAAGCCAGGGCAGATGTGGGGTGCAGGGGTGCAGTAGTCCAGGGGAGATGAGGACAGCTTGGACTAGAGTAACACAAGGGGAGGGAGACAGTAGAGGGGGACATCACTGGTGATGGATGGGTACGTGGAGAATGACAGCTTGGTTTCCAGCTGGGGCAAGTGGATGGATGTAGGGTCCTCCACTGAGCTAGGCAGCTCTGGAGCAGACTCAGCAGAGATGATACATTTTGTTTTGAGCTTAATGTGCTTTTGAAATATCCCATTAGATAACATCAGATAGGCAGTTCAATATACACAGGTGTGGAGGTCAAAAAGAGATCTGTGCTAGGGATAAAGATGTAATAGTTATCAGCATATAGATATAACAATAATAGTGATAGCAGCAAACATTTATCTAGTGCTGGCTATGTGCCTAGTTTTTTTTTAATTTTTTATTGTTATGTTAATCACCATACATTACATCATTAGTTTTTGATGTAGTGTTTCATGATTCATTGTGTATAACACCCAGTGCTCCATGAAGAATGTGCCCTCTTTAATACCCATCATCTGGCTAACCCATCCTCCCACCCCCCTCCCCTCTAGAACCCTCAGTTTGTTTTTCAGAGTCATCGTCTCTCATGGTTCGTCTCCCCCTCTGATTTCCCCCCCTTCATTCTTCCCCTCCTGCTATCTTTTTTTTTTTTTAACATATATTGTATTATTTGTTTCAGAGGTACAGATCTGTGATTCAA